TCTTCTGCCATCACCATCACCACCACCACCATCATCACCATCACCATCACCATCACCATCACCATCATCATCATCATCATCACCATCACCATCACCATGATCATCATCATCATCATCATCACCATCATCATCATCATCATCACCACCACCACCACCACCACCATCATCATCATCATCATCATCATCATCATCATCATCAGCATCAGCATCAGCATCATCATCATCATCATCATCATCATCACCATCACCATCAGCATCAGCATCATCATCATCATCATCATCATCATCATCATCATCAATCACATCCGCATTCACCTCAACGTCCTACTCACTTCTCCCTCCTCACTCCTCCTGCTCATTCGCCTCCTGCTCTTGCTGCCCTACTGATACTCCTGTGGATTCCCTGCGCCCTCTTCCCTCGCTCCTTTCTTCCTCCTTCTCCTTCGCCTCTGCCATCATTGAGAATTATTGAGGCCGTCTCTGGGCCGTCTTGAGCCGTCTTGGGGACCTCGTGGCCGTCCTGGGGGCCTCTTGAGGCCGCCGTGGGCTCCTCCTCCACGCCCTTCTCGCCTACTGCCATTCGGAGGACTCCAAATGCACCCATTGGGCTCCAGAGGTCTCCAGAGGTCCCCAGAAGCCTCCAGTGGTCCCTGGAGGCCTCCGGATCCAGGTCCCCCGAGGCCAAGACTCACGCTCACGGCCGCGGGTGGGGTCAATAATGGTTCACTGTGTCCCCCAGCGAGGAATGAAGACTCATCATTTCCTGCGGGCGGAGAATGAGAATTTACAAAACCGCCGAGCTCTGAAAACGTTCGCGTGAAACGACAATATGTGCGTGGTTAGTGTCAGTCATTACTTCGGCCGAACCAGAGTGTGAGTGATTACTTTAACCGAACCCAAATCCGCCGACCCCTTGCGGGTCTCGAAGCGTGTGAGATTGTTCCCCCCCCATAATCCCCCCCTGGGGACTCCAAACCGGAGATTTGACCCCCCCCCGGACCCCCCCCTGGCCCGGCGCGAGCGACTCACGGGGCTCTTCCGGGCCCAAGAGGGCCCAAAGACGGGCCAAAAAGGCCCCAAGAGGCCTCCAAGACGGCCCACGAGGGCCCCAAGACGCCAAACGAACGCTCAAAGACGCCCACGATGGCTCCAAGACGGACCAAGAGGCCTCGAAGATGCCCCAAGAAGCCTCCAAAAGGCCTCCCAAGGGGGGGCTGAGAAGCCAAAATCATTGATTATTTATTTGTTTTTCCATGAATTTTAAGCTTTCGCGTTTTCCGCTTCCCGACGCCCCAAGACGGCCCCAGAGGCCCCGAAGACAGCCCCAAGACGGCCCAAGAGGCCTCCAAGATGGCCCCAAGACGGCCCAAGAGGGCCCCAAGACGGCCCAAGAGGCGCCCAAGACGGCCCAAGAGGGCCCCAAGACGGGCCCAAAGGGGCGCCAAGAGGGGGGAAAAAAACTCATTTCGAGCCCTCGGCCCCCAGACGCCCCCGGGAAGCCCAAAGAGGCCCCCCAAGAGGGCCCCAAGAGGCCCCCAAGAGGCCCCAAGCATGCCCCAAGAGGCCCAAAACAGGCCCCAAGAGGCCCCAAAACTGCCCCCAAAGGGTCTCCAAAGTGCGGGCGGTACCACTTGAGGCATACGGACGACGCACCTCGCGTGGTACTTGGTTGGTACCACTTGAGGCCTCCGAAAAACCGACCACGAGATCCCAAAGAACACTCCCGATGCCTCTGACTCACAACCCAGGCACGGTGGCGGGATTGGCGGGACGGGCCTCAGGGCATTCGAGAAAAATCCCTCTCAGGATCCACGACAAGATCCTCACTTGTCCTCGTCGTTTTCTTCCTCCTCCCCCTCCTCCTCCTCCTCCTCCTTTTCCTCCTCCCCATCCTGTTCCTCCCCCGTCGTCTCCCCCTCCTGCTTTGTTCCTCCCTACTGTCCACAGCATTCGCGCGCTGCCAGACGCGCTGCAGCGCCTTTGTGGAAGCCCCCCAGAAGCTCCGAATCGGCCCCCAAGTGGCTTCATAACTGCATTCCAGGGGCCCCCGAGAGGCGTGCCGCGAGATCCCTATACACATACTTGAAGCCTCTAACCCATAACCCATGACCCAGAACCTTGTCTCCGTGTCCCCCTCCTCCTCCCCCCCGGCCTCCTCCATCCCCATACACATACCACAAGCCTCTACCCCACAACCCATAACCGAGAGCCTCATCTCAGTGCCCCCTCCCCTCCTCTTCCTCCTCCCCCACCTCCTCGTCGTCCCCCTCCTCCTCTTCCTGCCCCGCTTCACCTCACCCTCTTCGATGTTTCTCCCCCCCATTTCCGCCTCACCACCCATCCTTCTCTCCCCGTCCTCCTTTTTTTCCCCAGCACGCGCGCCCGATTGGCCATAAATTGCACGTCTTGCACTTCAGGGTGCCCTTCTTTGCGTCGCGCAGGACACTGTGCGGATCGGGGAACGCCGACTTCGGCAGTCTTCTCTCGCATGCGCCGCTGCACTGATACGCCTGGCAACTGCGCGCGGTGAACCCGAGTTTTGTGCAGTCTCCGCACGCGACTTTGAGTTGTGTCGCCTTTCGATGATGTTCCTTTTGCGTCTGCTTCACATGTTTCGTGTCTGTGAACGCTCCTCCGCACGCCGCGCACGTCAGCGGCTTCGCGTCCGCCTCGGCTTTCCGTTTCCTGTTCTTCGACTCGAGCGTCGCCCTATGACGTTCTTCCGCGCACCTCTGACACAGCCTCTCCCCCGCTGCTTTGTGCTTCTTCTGCGCATCAGACATATCCGCCTCCTCTTGGAAAAGCGACAGACATTTCTCGTTCGAACAACGCACCTTGCGTTTCCTGTTATTCGACTCGCGCGTCGTCCTCTCCCGTTCTTCCGCGCACCTCTGACACAGCCTCTCCCCTGCTGCTTTGTGCTTCTTCTGAGCTACCAACATTTCCGCCCCCTCTGGCAATAGCGACGGACAGCCGTCATTCGAACAGCGCACTTTGCCCGCGCTCTCGGCCCACTTGGCGCTGGCACGGCGCGACTTCTGCTGCCTCTTCACATCGCTGCATTTGACACAGCACATGGTCCGAACTTTTTTGGCGTCGCCCCCATCGCGAACCCTCGCCGCGCCCTCGTCGTCGCCCCTCCGCGCGCTTTCGTCGCCGTGGGTCTTCGTCGCCCACGCGTCACACGTTTTGCATCATTTCTCGTCCAGGCTCTTCATCTCTTCCGTACACTCTTTACAGAAGGCCGGTCTCTCCTTCCGCTGGAACTCGCACTTCGTGGACGCCTCCATGAGCAGCCGACGTCGGCAACGCCCACGCTGATCGCGCGGCATCAGCTTCGCCCCCCGCTCCTCCCAATCCACAGCGTCGCCGCGTAGCACCTGCAACAGCTTCTGCGCGCTGGGCATCTCCCCCTCGCTGTGCGGCTTCCTGTCGAAAGGCCTGAAGATAAGTAAGTTGTCCCGTCTCCTCGCCCGGGTAATCGCCACGCAACTGGACATCCAACTTACGCCGCGCCCTCTTTCCAGATCCGCTATCACTGCGCCCAACGTCCGCCCTTGCGCGGCGCGCGCTGCGATTGCTAACGCTGGCGTAATCATGAACTGCGCGCGCTACACCCCCAACACCGGGCGCTTCCGATACCCGCCCAAGAACCACTGGCGCCCCTTCGATGGAAAAATTGGATACAGCCCCGGCTCCCACCCGGGCAATTAAGTGCCATTTCTTCGCGTGGAAGTCCAACACTATGACTCTTGGCAAGTGCGACAACACTTCTTCTTCTTCGTCTCCCACGACTTCGTCCTCGTGCAAGACCCACCCATAAATCGTCGCGTGGCTTCCCCGCAGCACCTGCTTCCTCGACCTGTCCAAGTGATCTCCTAAGGCCACGGGCGCCCCCTTCGCCAACGGCAGCCACCCCAGCAAGCTCGCGCACTCCTTTTCGTGATAACCTAGCCACCGTATCTTGTCCTCCACGGTGCACGGGCGTCTCTGCCCCCCCCCCCCATGGCACGGGCGATCTCTCGCCGCGACCCATAGCAGATGCTCTCCGTGTTGCTTCGCCCACTGCACAGCTCTTGTTTCCCGACGCGGCACCGAATGTCCTGACTGGCATAGATCGCCACGGCTTCCACGAACTTCTCTGCCCGAAATCGCGGGTCTACCAGCGACGTCGCCACGAGTTTCCTCTTCCCTCGCTCCACTTTGCACACCGCGCATCTGCCAATTTCCTCTGCTTTAACTCGACACTGCGAGTTTCCGCATAGCGGCGCGCCGCTCGCCCACGATCCTGCCACGTCCGTCGGCCGTCCGTGCAAGAAATTGCGCGTTCTCTCCGTCAATTCGCCTCGACGAAACTCGTCTTGCACCCCGAGGAACCAGGTGTCTGGCTCCTCCACACGCTTGCACTCTGTCAGCCCTGTCATTCCTTGCACTGCCCCTGCGCCTCCCCTTCCCCAGAAGATATGCTGACCGTGGTCCTCCGCAGAACCCGGCGCGTACTTTCTTGTTTTTTTCCAGATACGATGTGGGCAGCGCATTGATGGCCGTTCCCGAGGGAGGCTCTAACTGATAAAAGTCTCCGCAGAACAACACGTTGATGCCCCCGAACGGCCTGTCCACACCGTCTGCCCCTACTTTCGTGTCACTCGCAGCTGACATGCACGTCCGCAGATGCGAATCGAGTTCCGCGATGAAGTTTGCGCTCGCCATGCTCACCTCGTCCACAATCAGCCACTTCCACTGTGACATACGCTGCGCCGCTTGCTCTTTCTTCGTTTTCTTCTTCGTCTCTGCGTTGGCATTGCCCGCCGCGTCCTTCTCTTTCGTTTTGTTCACACCGAGCCCAAATGCACTGTGAATCGTATTCCCGTCGAGAGCTGACGCGTTTGTAGCCTGCAACGCTGCCGCCTGAAAATCTACGCCGCGCGTCCACCCCAGCTCTTTTTCGAACAGCTCCTCCCGGATCTTGTCTATGACGAAACTCTTCCCAGTCCCCGGGCCGCCATGCAACGTCCACGCGAGGGGCTGCATATCAGAACCGCTCTGCCCTGTTTTCTTGCCGCTCGCGGACCTCCCGAATTCTTGCGCCAACACGCGATCTGCCACCTTCTCAACGACGCTACGCTGTCCCGCGTTCAACCCGTTCTCCGCAAGCCCTTGCCTCCATCTCCGCACACTTGACGCTGTTGCTTTCTTGGCCGCCACCACCTCTGGGGCACCTTCCCCCCCGCCCGCGCCGCTGCCTTCTGCGGCCTTCGACGCCGCGGCCACCGCTTGCACTTTCTTCACTTCCGCGTCACCCCACCTCAACACGCCGCCCCCTCCGCGCTTCTTGCGCTTTCCGTTCATCCGACCAGTGCTCACGCCCCACGCGGCGTCGCCCCTGGCCATGGCCGCCCGGCTCTTCTCCATTTCGCACTCCGCATCTACATTTCTCCGCCTGTCCTCTTTCTCCATGGACGCGCGCGCCTCCCACATGCGTCTTCCGCCTTGTCGCCGCGTCGACAATTCTCGGATCCAGTTCTTCATCGCTGTACAGCTCGTCCTCGTGTTTCACTAAATCTTCGTCCGTGACTGGTCGCATATCCACCGCGCCCATGTAGTTCTGCACGTACCTCTTTGTTTCTTCACATGGCATGCCATTCTTTAAACCACTCCAATGACGCCTCCGCCCACGACCCCTGCGCTCCGCGGAAGTCCTGCAGGTGCGGCACTCCACATTCGACGTCGTCACGCAGTGTGAACGCACGAAAATATACCATCAACAAGAACCCGTTCCTATCCTCCTGCCCCGCTCCGTGCTTCGGCTGCGTCGCTCCATGAAAACTCGGGTTCCTCGGGCGCTCGTTCCGCACCAGCACCCACGTGTGCCTCAGAGTTTCCAACTCCGGAACATCCGGGAACGGTACCCACGAATAACTCTCCCATCCCTCCTTGATCACATAATCCACTCCAGCTTTCAATTGGGGTCCAGCCTCGGCAAACCACGACAATCAGCTTGATCACAATAATCCAGCCTCGGCAACCAGCTTGATCACAATAATCCACTCCCAAAGGGCCCCCACGACAACTCACCAGAACCCCGAGCCGCCAAATGATCGTTCGAAGACGCCAAAGATGGCATCCACGCGGCCCAAGATGCCTCCAAGAGTGCTCCGGGACGGCCCTACCGCAGAATCCAAACGGCAATGTAAAGCCGCGGGCCCCCACAGAAACAGCATGAGGCCCCCAGAAGCTCTCCAACAATGCTGCCAGGACGCCCCCGCGAAAAGAACCAGGAGCCCCCCAAGAAGAAAACAAAAAAAGACGCTGAACACCACATATATTCGTGGCCACTGGCGACGCTCCACCTCGAACGTCCGCTGCTGGGTCGCCGCCGCAGCGCCTCGACCACCTAACTATACCGTGACCCGCGGGGCCACACATGTGTTCAAAACAGACCCCCACACACCCAACCCCCCTTAAAAGGGTCGGCGGATGTGGCGTAAGCCTTGAGAATATTAGGTATTAATTTTCGACTGGCCAGACCAAGAGTGCAAGTCATTATTTCGATCGAAGCTCAAGACTGTTGATTGTTCGGCATTGGTTTGGTTTGTGCTCGAGGCGGCCGAAGGAGCCGCCAAGAGGGCCAAAAACAATTTCCCGAGAGTGCTGAAACTCTTCCGAGACTATCAAATAGAGCCAACAGAAGCCATCTAATGCGCCCCCAGAAGAACCCGAGATGCCACGAAAACGCTCCCAGATAGCTCCACGAGGCTCCCAAGACGCCCCAAGAGGTCCCCATGACGCCCTAGGGGTTTTCGCAGAATCTGCCCTCCCCTGTTGTCTCCTTTTCCACGTACTTCCCCTCCACTGGGGACCGAGCCGTCTCACGATACGTCCCACTTGGCTGTCGAACGGAGAGGCGCGCAGAGTGCTGCGCTGGCGCCGTGGCGGAACTTGCCGCAGGCACTTGACCATCGGATCCGACCTCATCGGGCACAAAAGCCTTACGCGCCAACTGCTAGACGGACGACTCATCGACGACATATAGACGATACATATACGATTCGAGTCCAAGGCACCCCTTGCCCTTGCCGTGCCCCCTCGCGATGCCCCTGAAAACAACGACGACGACGACGACGACCGCGAAGGGCAGCGTCGGCGACGACGGCAGCGAGCGCGCAGCGACGGCGGCACTCGCCTGGCGGCCCCGCCGCCCCGGCGAGCCGGAGCCCCGCGGCCTCGGCCGCCGCGGTGGCTCGCTCCCGGCCCCCGGCGACGCCGTCCCGTGCGATGGCGAACTCGCCTGGCTTGGAGGGCAAAGTCTCCCTGCCTCTAGAGGCCCAACGCTGTTTATGAGGAAGAGGGAAGGGGAAGGAAGAAGAGGAGGACGAGGAGGAGGGGGGAGGGGTCCCCAGATGGCTTCTAGAAGACCAATACCTCGGGCCTATGCCAAATACCGGTCTCACTTTCTGGCCACAAGCGTTTGTAGGCACACGGCGTGTCGTTACATATATGAACACATTCGTTGTGGGTACGCCTGTAGGCAACGAGGCCTTTGTATCCGGCGCAATACAAGGCCGGAGAAAGAATAGACCCACCTACAGTCCCGTCTGGACGTTGCGACTTGTTCGAGCCCGGCGTTTTTCGCCGTGTTCCGGACCCAGGTTCCTCACAGATCGGTGCGGCTCGAGAAATGACGCAGAGGGATAAGGTCGAGGGTTCAGACGGCAATTTTGTGTTACGATGTTGTAGCTGTTTGGCAACGTCATATCTGAAGGTTCATCGACGGCGGCGGCGGCGACGACGCCGACGGCGAGGACGAGGACGGAGACGAAGGCGAAGCTGGCGGCGGCGACGGCGGCGGCTGCGGCAACAAGGGCCCCGAGCCGCCCGTCCTGGCCGACCCAGCAGCACCACCGTCGAGCCCGCCCTCGACCCCGCGGGGATCTCGCCCCCGTCCAGCACGAGGTCGAGGCCCTCGACGAGGTCGGCGAAGTCGGCGACCTGCAGGGGCGAGGTGCTCCCCGAGAGGTTCGCCGACGTCAGCGCCAGCGCCGAGCGGGGCCCCAGCGCCGAGCAGATGGCCGTGGCACACGGCGAGCTGGCCGGCACGACGCGGACGCCGATTGGTGGAAGGAGGAAAACGGCACAACACACGAACTTTCGGAGCTCCGCGCGGAGCTCTTGGACCGGCACTGGATAACCCTGGCGGCGGCTCTGACGCCGCCCATGGCGCGCTCCGCGCCCCAGAGGAAGGATGTCCAGCGCCGAGCCGAGAAATCCGCGTGGCAGGGTTCCGAACGCGCATGGCAGGGCTCGGAACGCGCATGTTTTCTCCAATGCAGTCAGGCTGTCCTCAGCCCAAGGAGGAGGGGAGAGAAGGGGAGGGGGAGGAGGAGGAGGAGGAGGAGGAGGAGGAGGAGGAGGAGGAGGAGGAGGAGAGGAGGAGGAGGAGGAGGAGGAGGAGGAGGAGGGAGGCGGAGGAGGAGGAGGAGGGAGGCGGAGGAGGAGGAGGAAAAGGAGGAGGAGCAGGAAGAGGAGGAGGAGAAGGAAGGCGGAGGACGAAGAGGAGGAGGAGGAGGCGGAGGAGGAGGAAGAGGAGGAGGAGAAGGAAGAGGAGGACGAGAATGAGGAAAAATAGGGTGAGGGAGAGGAGGAAGAGGAAAAGGAGGAGGAAGAGGAAAAGGAGTAGGACCACGCCGATGACCTGTCGTGCGACTGAGGGGCAGGGGGACGGGCCAACATTGGGCACGAGGGCCCGCAAAACTAGACAAGTCTCTTACCCGTCTCGGGGTGCTTGCCACCACGGATAACAGATATACCATATCGCTGTCTGGATCTGGCAGGCTGATCCTCGGCTGGATCCTTCCAGTCCAAGTCGAGGTTACATGTAGTGGCCTGGGTGGACGCTTGATAGGAGCCGCACAACATGCACACTATAGCGCCACCTCGGGTCACCAACACTTGGTGCCCACGGAGCTCGACGATAGCTTCAGACGGCGGCATAGACGATTCGCCTTGAGCAGGAACCCCGTCGAAGACGCCGCACTACCTTCTACCAAATCAGCCCACTGTAGGGCCGTGCGCACAGCTTCAGACTGCATGCTAGGAGTTTCCTGTAGGCCCTTCCTTGTCCCGCTCAGCCATCATACGTTGCAGAAGGGTCGGGGTGCAAGGCCTACCTAGCAACTTAGCCAGGCTGTCTGGGGTCCTAGCAACACTCAAACATGATTTGCACTGTAGGTACTTGGCCCTCTCCTTATCTCTACGCACCATTTCATGCTGAGATAGGTCCAACTCAGGGGCCGTACAAGAAGGGGACGTATAAGAACAGGCAGGGCGGTCAGACTCACCATCGCGATATGCAACCCATGCAGCGACCCAGTCGAAGAACCTGGCTTGCGCCATGGCCTCCGACATGTGGAACTCCGAATTCCAGACAACCGATTCTGGACATGCATGCTTCAACGCCCCCCTTCTCGCAAACCAGTCCGACCATGCATTGCCGAGGTAGAACTCAAACGGATGAGGGTATGCGATGGCCTTGCCCAGTGTCATGCGCGCTCGAATTCAACAAAACTGAGGAGGGCATGCATCGCCAACAGTCGCGCACACGTCCCTCCAAACGTCGGCGAAGGTAGCCTGTGCGTCCGCCTGGTCTTGGTGCCAGGCCACGCCTTCATTGTGCACCGGTAGCGGATCAACGACCGCGAGCGGCGGCCATCGGCAGGAGCCCGAGCGCCTGGAGAACAGCAGCGCGCTCTGCACGTCCTGCCGTCTGGACAGGGCCTTGGAGAGGCCCCCAAGCACCTCGAATTGGCACGCCGATGTTTCCTATCTGACAGAGCCCGCAGCCGCGCCTGCGTAGCTCAGGCCAGCCCGGGGCAAACGCAACAGAATCCCAGGGGGCCCTGCAAGAGCCCCAGGTCTCCCCAGAAAACCACGGGCATCTCCATGGGCACCATTGGTTGCGGCGGGGGAGACAACGGCATGCCAACGCACATTAAGAACTGGCCCCGGTCGTAGGCCCCGAGCCCCGTGACACCCTTGCCCTCGAGATGCCGGCGCGCGCGTCAAACTTGAGGCACCACGCGAGGTCCGCACCCAGTGTTTTCATAGCGCCCGGGGCCGCCCAGCATGTGGTGGCCCAGGGCGTCGGGGCTTCCAATTCTACACCAGGGACACTCGGGCGAAATCCGATACCCTGCAGCAGCCGTGCGATTTCTCGCCCATAGACCTCCAGCCCGTAGGGCCCTCGAGGCACCTGCAAACCCACCTCGAACAGCAGCCTTGGCTCCGCCGCGGCATCTCTGGGGCGCTCTCATCCAAATGCACTCTCCACCTAGGCAAACATTCTGGCGTCGAGCAAGGACCCTCCTCGCATGCCATCCCTGGGCTCCATATCTGACGAATTATAATACAGACTTGGGTGGTATCTTCATCATGTCAATCACGTACTTGCTGTCGTTACATATTGTAGCGCTAGATGCCATGCTCCAGCCTATCCTGTCTAGCGCGATCCACACTATGGACATAGGACCCCGAGCGTCATTCCAGCAAGCTTTCTGATCCAGCTGCTGATTGACCGAAACCCAAGCCCCCTGAAGACGCCCCAAGCAAACTCTCCGGTCCCAGGCAGCGCTTGAAAATGCCTGAACAAGCTCCAAAGCGGCCTCTGATATAAGAGCACACATATCATCCTTCAGCGCGGCACAGAACAAGCGCACGAGACGAGGCCGTGGACGCCCCACCACAGACCAAACGGGCTGCGCGACGCAACGTCGAAAGCTCCTGCTCTGACATTCCAGAGACAGAAGCGCCGCGAGCAGCAGCAGGAATAAGTCCTGTTCCCCAGAGCGCCGCAACCTGCACTTCAACATTCGTACGCAACATCAGTACTCGAGGCGCCGCAACTGCAAGTTCACTGATTATCTTGGCCGCGCGTTTCCTGATAGGCTTGCCACACGAGAACTCAGGCCCAATATTTATCATCTATTTCCAGGCCGTGAGCCGCAGTAGCCTAGCCCTCTGTTCAAATGACTTCCAAGTTGAACCGGAACTAATAACATACCCAGATTTTACAAGTTGCGCGATCAGCCCAAGGACGCCCACGCGTCGAGACACGTCGCGCCCTGGCGCGCCCCCGGGAAACCTCTCGCGAGGCAAAGCACGTGGAGCAAAACCTTGTGTAAATAGTTATCCCAGAACTCGTCCCACGTCGCCTGCCACGCCCGCAATCGCACCAGAGCGCAACCGATTTTGCTCCGCGCCCCCCAGCAGAACGACGAGCACCGAGCCCAAGCTAACAGACAATTCGTTTGGCGAGTTGCAGCCCCCCCAAGCGAGGCGCGCCAGCATTCGAGCCAAGGGCGCGCGCGCGCCTCCAAAAAGACAGCGCGTAACCTGCGAAACTCCTCCCCCGGACAGGGGTCGGGATAAGTATTTCGTTGCGGATCTAGCGCGCATTGGCGATGGCGCGGAGTGCCTATGAATTCGAGAGCACCGCGCCATGCGCGCAGCCCGCCAGCATGCCTCGCGTTGCCGTTGTCGGCAAACTCCAGCGGCCGTAGCCATGGGCCTTGATGACCCTCGGCTGTGCATGAGACTCGAACAACACTCATCAAAACCTCCATGGGGCACTACAAACACACTGCTTCACACGAATACGAGAAACCCCGACAAGCCCCCCAAACATGAAGGCCCCCATTGCTTCGAATCCAGCTCCTGGACACCTGCCGACGAATCCTGGACAAGAGGAGAACGAGGCTTCCGACCAGCGCGATTAATCACGCACCCCCATCTTGTTCGGCAATACGAACCATCTCATCAACGATCCCCTGGCCACACGAGCAGCCGTCACATTGCATAGAAATTGTGACACTGCCTGCAGCAAATTGGGCATAGACCCAAAAGGTTTCGGGAGAATCCTTGTCGGCCCCGCGGCCACCCCCCATGAGAAAGCCCCCGCGGCGTCGCGCGCGCGCTGCGCAGGCATGAAGGGCAACTCAAAGCATGTAGTATGTTCATGTGGTACGCGCAGGCGCTGCGTGTCGTGATATCTCCATACGTCTCCATGCGCACGCCTTATCATCTGTCATCCGATATGGTTGCATGCGCTGCGCGCCCATGGTGCTGGCTCGCAATGCCAGCAGCCCGGTAAGCCGACGTGATTTGTTCAGCCCCGTTGAGAAAATCTGTGTCCATGAACTCCTTCCAGTGCTGCGTGCTGGCCTTGACTACCCCTGCGTGGAACTCATCAGTTTTCTCAACTATGGCATGCAACATGCCCAGCACTTCCTGCTGCTTCGCAACCCTGCGAACAAATCCCCCCATGCCCTGCAGGGAGGCAATGGACTTTTCCATAGGCCCAGATTGTCTGATCCCACTGATCCCGGGCACCACACGGTTCTTTCTGGAGCCACAACGAAGGACGAGCTGCCAGCCATCTCTACGGCGCAAACCGCACGTCCAATCCATGGCGAGGCGGAGTCGGGCAAGAGCACATGCATCTCATGTCGGTAGCCCATGATCGACCTATGCCATGCTCCTGGATCAAATTCCTCCGATAGGTTCGCACTCTCATCGCGCGCCTCGCCCACTTCGGCGCTGCCGTCCAAGCCCGACTAACCCGTGAACGTTGAGGTCGCACCTCTGGCGCCGCCCTTTATGTCTGCGCACACTTAGCGCGAACTGGACCACCGCGGCCGCGAAACTCATTGGAACGAGGCTCGACAATTGCGAACTGGACGAGCACCCCTCCTTCCAACATATCGCATTTCTGAGGCCCCGTGCGCGAGCGAGCTCGGTTTGTCCTGAGCTGCCCGAATCATCGGCAGCGCGAGCGCCCGGGGCAAGGGCGGCCGCGAACATCCAACATGTGGATTCTTGGGCAACGCAATAGGCTCACAAGGCACACGCAACCGCACAGGAAGTTCACCGTCTAATTAAACCGGTTCGTGCACTGGAAGTTCGCCATGCTCACAGATCCCAGGGGGCTGCAACATGGTAGCTAACATACCACACATCGCAGAATAATCACACACATTGCGCTCTGCGCCGTCGGCGGCGACGAACGCCGCAATTGCGGGCGCCGCGAAGAGGCCACGTAGCTGCTCGAGCCACGCTCGGCCATGAACGGTCGCAGTTGGCATGTTCCAGTCGCGCCCAACAACCCACGGCATGCCGCGTCATTAAGACGACCACTGTAGCGCGCGAGGGCACGCAGCAACGTCTGACTCTCCGCATTCAATCCCACTGATATAGCTGCCACACAGATATAGCTACCACCCCCACCTTCGCAACCCCAAGCAAACTTCGCAGTAACACACTCACCAGGATGAACGATTGGAGATTCGAGGCCCGGCGGCGCGGCGATGGCGAACTCCGCGGGCAC